AACAGGCGTGTCCAGAGCGAGCAGGCCGGGCACGGGACTGGTTCCGAAGAAACTGGAGATGGACTTCTTCGACTCGTCAGAAGACAGTGAAGACGAGATAGACTTGGACAAGCCCATCTCAAAGGAGGACCTGCATGACGACGAGTACTGGATGGCCATGGAGAAAAAGGCGTACGCTATGGTAAAGACCAGTATGGAGCAACTGGAAACGGGGCAACTGGAAACGGTCGACGAAGAGTCTCCCGTAGACGAGAAAAAGGTACAGGGAGCTTCGCCAACCGTGAAGAAACCCTCAAAATTCGCTCGCATGTTCCAGTCAAGGAAAGAAAGGGAGCAGAAGATAGACAGGGAGGCCAGAGAGATGGCGATGAAGCAGCAGGCCGCAAAGAAGCTAGACACAGTCGAGCACAAATCGGACCCCCCGAACGGAAAACCGGTCTATGGCCCGCCGCTTCCTCCTGAAATGCAGAGGGAGAAGGAAAAGAAAAAGGGCCTGGCGCGCTATGGGCACAAGCCAGTGCCTACGCTCGCCACCATGAAATCAAAAGAGGAAGAGCCAAGTACCTCTCAGAAATCTGGCGGCAGGCTAACCCCCACCAAACTAGTCGGCAAACTCAAAGGGGGCTTCACAAGGGTCAAGGATTCGATCCGATCGAGGCTTTCGGGGGAAGAGAGCGACACAAGTGAATGATTTGTTGATTTATAAAGATTCTCGGCGTGGCAAAAAATTACATGAACTCACGTTTTATGTTTTGAATGAAATGAGTTGTGGCAAACATGCTTCACACATTCTTCACACATACTTCACGCATGCCTCACACATGCTTCACGCGTGCTCCATTGACACAGAAAAAAAATAAAGGTAGAAAGAAATGCTTCAAGTGCATCGCTTTAATTTCTTTCTACCTGGGGCTCATATAAAATGAAAAAAAAAACTTGAAAAATTGCAACTGCGCAGCGAAGGGACGCACTTTTAGCCGTTTCTGTGGAGTGACATGTTATCTAATTGCCAGGCATCCATATATCCATATATACACAATGGCAGCGTTTAGAATTGTACAGCTGTGTTACTAACAATATGGTACATGCTGTCAAACAATCGATCTATGTATACGTTGATAACGGCACAAAAAATTCCTTATATTGGCTTTGAAAGGAAACGTAAGCAGTTGCTGTATGTATAGCTGACAAAAATTTTACTTATGCGAACGTTCCTGAACAGTTTTATACTCTACGTACTTTAATTGGACTTTGCTGCAAGCTACGTAGCATTAAAAGTCCTCTGTTCAAATACGTCACGACTGACGATTTTATATGTCTATATGTGTACATACATGTGAATTGTAAAAAAAAAATGCGATTAAGTGTATATACGTGTATATGTCTAACGTTATATGTATATGTGAAAAGAGAGATATGAGATAATGTTTTATCCAATATAAATCTTCACGCCAAGTTCTTGTCTGTTTTGCTACTGGGTTGTGTTTCTCACCTAGGGAAGCTTTTCTCAGAACGTGACGTTAGACTAGAGCATTGTGGGTAGTGTAAAGATACGCGACCACACAAGATGAACGCTTAAACTCAGCTGGTTTATTCAATCTCTTACCGGCCGGTTCTAGAGCCCCTTCCCTCGAACGGTATCGGTATATATCACCTGTTCGAACACGACGCTGGCACGTGCGCTGGCACGTGTTCGAACAGGTGACCGCGGCTCCGCCCAAGGGAGGGGATAGAACCGGCGATAATACAATGCTTACTAATACTAACAATACATATAGAATACAACACGGGGTATTCCGTATCGCCCGAGGTATCGGCCCGACCGCGGGTCGGATCGCCCGACGGCCGCAGGCTGGAGGCGATCCGACTCGCGGGAGGGCCGGGACTGAGGGCGATGCGGAATACACCGTGTTGTATTTTATTTATGTCATACCCACCCAAGAAAACACGCCTTTCAATGCAAGATGAGCCAAAAGATGGCGCCACTAAACCCTAACATGCAACAACATCAATGTTCGAACGTCCGGATTCTGTATTCGAACTTTCGAAAGGGGCACACGCGGGTAGGGCGAAACGCGTTCGAATCGTTTTATGGAAGCCATAGAAGCGTTCGATAACGGGTTCCAGACCGGGCCGTACCGTGAAGTACGGCCCGGTCCGGAACCCGTTATCGAACGTTATCGCGGCCCGGGTATGATATAAACATTGTTACAGTAGCATAGATGGAAGAGGCTATATCGTTGGATGTTTGTGATTGAAATGCAAGGGCTAATTTTTGAAGACCAAACTTGCTCCAAAATCTGTATCTGTATCTATATAGCCGGTATAACCGCCTTTCGGCGTAACACACCAGCTTCGCAGGCACGCGGCGCGGCGGCAGCTGGCTATGTTACACCGATCGACTTGTTACACCTAACCCTTGAACTTCTAGCTCTAGACATTGTTTAAAGCTATCTATTGACAATGCCCCTACTGTACTTGGTGACGGTGAGTTCCACTCTGCGATAGTTCTAGGAAAGAATGAATTCTTGAACACCTCAATCCTTGGTTGATAACTCTGGTACTTGAATGCATGGCTATTTCTTGTTCTCTTCTGGGCTGGGTATTAGGTACTTAGTAGTTGGGACATCCACCAGTTTATTAGTCATTTTGTACATCATGCATAGTCTGGACATCTTTCTTCTGTCTTCCAGTGAGGTCCACTGTAGGTTTCTTTTCATTTCCGTGACACTAGCACCTCTTTCATAGTTGTTCATACAGAATCTTGCAGCTTGATTCTGTACCCTTTATTCGGTGGTTATAGCAACTGACAAGGCTTTATCACACCATATTCACCTCGGGGCAGGACATTAACCCTTAAATAATATATAATTATAATAAAGTGTTCCTCATCCTTTATCCTATTTAGATTACAATACCTACATATTCGTTGTTCATATTGCTGGACGCATGCACAACTATCCCAAGAATGCCCTCTTTTCTATAGGGATTGTATTACGATCGTACTCTCCAAGCAGAGGTTGTGGGGAATGATCGTTACCTTTTTATATATGGCCGTTTTTTTGTCCTGATCCCCACCCGTCGGTGGCCGCGGAGCTTCTCTGGCTAATGGATACTGCCTGGCCAATTTGATACTGACTTTTTTGCCACCGATAGGGATCTGCTTGGAGATTATTACGATCGCACGACGACCGCAAGACGTAGTTGACTCGTATACGTCAAGGCCTGAGGGCCTGTTAATCTCCAAGCAGCTCCCTCTCGGTGGCAAAAAGACAGTATCAAATTGGCCAGGCAGTATCCATTAGCCAGGTAAGGTCCGCAGCCACTGACGGGGATCATGACAAAAAAAAACGGCCATATATAAAAAGGTAACGATCATTCCCCACAACCTCTGCTTGGAGAGTAAGGGCCTGTAGCTTAGCCCGGGCATGACAAAATAAATGCACAAGCCCCTGTGCTTCCTGATCCGTTCTGTGTACGTAGTTCAGCGGTTGTGGTTGTTTACCCTGACTACCGAGCATCACCGACACACCTGAGCGGCGAACAAAGCCGATACTCCGGGCGCACCCACCATGTCAGCCCGACCCTGGAGCATCGGGGCGGCCGGCAAGAACTAGTTTTTCATGTTCCAGCAAGGTGCGTTGTCGGACGTATGCACAAAGACTTGAGTAGCCTTGGATTATCTTTAAGCAACTGGCGCCAGGTGTTAAGTTACTTACAACGGAAACAACGGAAGAGTCTTGTTGACACTGACAAAAGTTCAACTCCCTGATCTGGAACAGCGAAGACAGCTTGAAAGGGCGAGTCAACGAATTCGGATCGGGGGTGGATTTGTACACAACTCACTTTCTAGGAACAGCGGAAGACAGACTTAAACAGGTGAGTCGACGTTAAAGGAAGGTAGCACAGGGTGAATGTGTACACAACTCACTTTATATGAACAGCAGAGACAGCTTAAAAAGGCGAGTCAACGTTAAACGAAGGCCTGCGGTGAATTTGTACTCTCCAAGCAGAGGTTTGGGTTTTGGGGGTATTTTTAGCGTGTTTTAAAACAAAATTCAGTGCAAAAGAGAAACCCCAATAAAAAAGCCTAAAAACACGCTAAAAATACCCTCCAAAACCCAAACCTCTGCTTGGAGAGTAGTGAAGTTGTACACAATTCAATTTCTAGGAACAGCAGAGGAAAGCTTAAACAGGTGAGTCGATATGTTAAACGAAGAAGGCACGGGGTGAATGAATTTGTACACAGTCCGCTTTCTATGGGCACTGATAGAAGACAGCTTAAACAGGTGAGTCAACCGTTAAATGAAGAAGACGTAGAGTAGAATTTGTACACACCTACAGCTGATCCTAACCAAATCTTGTCTGAGAACGAAGAAAGACTGCTTTTGGACAGTCGATTCTCGGTGAATTCTTTGGATGCCCTCTTCCGGAGCCGTCAAAGACTCTTAACCCTCAACAGTACACCTTCCCGGACTGATTAATCTGTACACCTGGGGTCCGCGCGGACCCCAGAGCAGTTTTTTGCTAATTTTTAGAAATTATCAACATGCTACCAGCTCAATTGTTTTGCAAACTGATGTGGGAACCTCTGTGTCCACATTACATACAAAAATCATACACTTTGAACTTTTTCTATTTTTTGGTGAAGAAAAGAAGACAAGAAGAAATACCCGATTTTTAAACCCATTTCAGACTGAAGGGGCTTTTGAGGCCCAACTTTGATCTCAGATAGCGGCTAAACGGCTTGCGCTAGAAGTATCAAATTTGGAGACCTTTCCTAAAATGTCTCTGGAAAAAAGTTCATATTAGTTTTATACTAGTAAGTTGATGTTTTTTTTGTGTTGTCATGGCAACGGGTAGTTTTTTGAAAATAGAAGTAATTTTGGTTTAAACATAAACATTTTCTGAGTTTTATATAAAATTACACTTCTTTTCCAACATTTATAACATCTTACATAATTAAATATAAGTTAAATCATTTAATATGCATAGAATATGCTAATTTGATGACGTCATTGGTCAAAATCCAATATGGCGGACTATATTATTAGCTCTGACGTCATATGACGTCATAATTACACCAAAGTTATTAAAATTTAATTCTATTACTACACCATTCTCTGAAAACTTGGTAGACACACGATGAATGCATAAAAACATATAAAAACGGAAATAAGGTAATGTATAAGAACGCCAGTGTATCCATTATGATCGAAAGCCGGCTGGGGTCCGCGCGGACCCCAAAAGAAAATCAGATATAATTTTTTTTATAAATGGTAGAAACGGAGTTTTCTGCACTGTATTGATAGACAACTTTGTGGGTGACAATTACCTAAAATTTCAGAAAAAAATCTTTAGAAACAAAAAAGATATTACAGAATATATAGTGCTGGGGTCCGCGCGGACCCCAGGTGTACTGTTTAGGGTTAAACAAGTTGGTAAGAACTTTGATAACAGCGTATGGTGAACGAGGGCTTCTAAAAAGACTCTGGAAGTGTTTTACTTGTACGTACGTCCGGCTGGGCTGGTATAAACCTTTTCTAAATAGATCTGTCTTCGCATGCCACTACACTGGCCTAACGTTCTGATCTGTAATGTACACCATGCACGACTAGCTACAGGTAACACGGTGAAGTATGTTAATGTTATCCTAACCATAAGAGCGTTGTAAACATTTAAGATGTAACACTGGTCGTTTATTTTACGGCAAATCAGAGATAGATATTCAAGAATGTGTACACGGTGAACAACATGGCATGCAGACAAGCAAACTTGCCGTCAACTTTTGCTTGCTCAGAAAGAATGAGAAACATTCACTCGTACAACGATCGGTTTGTGTGATCAAGCCAGAGAAATATGTTTGGATCGCGTGTTTCCTAAGGCCTGTTTGTTGTAAAATGAACCCATGGAATACGTTAGGGACTTAAGCTTCTTCATAAGAAACTAGAAAAAAATGCTAACGTTGCAATAATTGCAATGGGGCATTCAGTGTGTATCCATGATTTCGTGTCAGTGATGTCACAATATACAAATCGCCGTCACTTGCGAAGCTGGTATGTTACAGAAAAATGAGGTCACCGACTGGATTTAAACCTTAAAAAAATTAAATATCCTGCTGGCTATTCTGTGGATTATATACTCCATGAAAGCAGCAATGAAAGGTTTTCAATAAGACTTAGCTGTCCTGCATTCGCAAATGAGTTACTGTATGTTTAAGTCGCCTCGTTTCTTCTACAACATCGTTACGGTCTGTACGAATCCATTCTTCCTGTAACATCTGACTAAAGTTTCACTGTGTCGACCCATGGCCAGGACCACCTCAGTTTCACAGGTCGTGCTTGACCGCACTGGTAACTACCAAAACAGCCAGGCCTGACTGGGTTTCTTCTAAAAGTCTTGAAGCACTTCAAGCGTCCAGTCAGTTAGCATGCAAAGTGGCCATCCATAGGCTAGTCAATTGAAGTCAAGGGTTACTGCACAGCGATTGCATCTGGGACGGAAGTTGTCCACATCCAGTTAGAACGCGGTGAGATGAATCTCAAAGAGGGTCGGAAGCCGTTCACTCCTACTCCGCAAGGAGGCCAGAAGATCTACACATGTCTCGACCTAGTCTCGTGTTCTCGCGAGACTAGGTCACTCTGTGAACAAGATGTACAATCAACATCAAAAATTTGGAGGTACGTGTTTCTAAATTTCAAAAACAGTCACTGATGAGTGTTGAATGTTCTACTAACTGCCAAAAGAATGAGAAGTATTCACTCGTGCGACTATCACCGTATCAGTTTTTGCTATGATCAAGTCAGAAAACTATATTTATGTTTACCGAAGGAAAACATATTGTTTTTGCTCCATTTCTTCTTCCTCTTCTTCTTCTTCTTCTTCTGTTCCAAACACTAACCTCTGACCTGGCCAATGGCCTCTTTTGTTGACGTCTGTCACCATGGTAACTGGTGTTGGGTTACATGCAATGTTGCAATTTCATAGTAGGCATTTACTAGGCTCCTGTCACCATATACATGTACATGTATGTGAATGTGTTTGAGTAAGAATTAACAGAGCAGACCATATCCGAAGGTAAACATGATGCATTTGCTTTGCAAATGTTACTTTTCTAGTTACATGTATAATACTATACAAAAGAGAAGACGTATCACAACAAGCGTACCGTACCATTCAATCATGTATTGCATAATGCTGTTAGATGAGTATACTATTATAAATAGTTCATAGCTGCTAATGATATATATTGTTTGCCATACATTGTACTTTGATGCAATCGTTGTGCAATAAACCTTGCAATTGACTTGACTTGATGACTAGCCTACGGATGGCCACTTTGCATGCTAACTGACTGGACGCTTGAAGTGCTTCAGGACCTTTAGAAGAAACCTAGTCAGGCCTGGCTGTTTTGGTAGTTACCAGTGCGGTCAAGCACGACCTGTGAAACCGAGGTGGTCCTGGCCATGGGTCGACACAGTGAAAATTAAGTCAGATGTTACAGGAAGAATGGATTCGTACACACCGGAACGATGTTATAGAAGAAACGAGGCGACTTAAACATACAGTAACTCATTTGCGAATGCAGGAGAGCTAAGTCTTATTAAACCTCTTGTCTTGCTGCTCTCATGGAGTATATAATCCACAGAATGGCCAGCAGGACAAAGGTTTAAAGCCAGTCGGTGACCTCATTTTTCTGTAACATACCAGCTTCGCAAGTGGCGGCGATTTGTATGTTGTTGTATCACTGACACGAAATCTTGGATACGCACTGAATGCCCCACTCGTAGCAACGTTACTAGCATGTTTTAAACGAAGAATGTAATGAAGAAGCTTAAGAGTAAGAAGGTATTTCATGGGCCCAACAGGCCTTATAAGGTAATACGCAATCAAAACATATTGTCCCAGGTGCAGAGTCGGGGCATACTAGACGTACGTTGAATATTTTTTCTTCTTGTTCTAGGCAATGTTGTCTTGTTGTTATAAGAAGTCATTGATCTTTGCGTTTCTTCATCGTAAGAGGGAAATACCATTAGGAAATGTTATTCATCTTCGACGTTGTCTCTGCAGGTGGGACACATTCACTTGTCGTCTGGTATGTTTTTGTGACGGCCCTTCTTAATTTGAGCCTATGAATGGCCACTTTGCATGCTAACTGACTGGTCGCTTGAAGAACGCTCTATGATATCGGTGTCTAGTCTCCAATCCGTGTGACATTGGTTAATCTACCGTTAATTAAATAACACAGTCATATAATCTAGCTCGGTTACACCTGAAATACTTTCCATTGCGGGCTACTCAGCTTTAGATACTACAGTGCGTGTATATCATAACATCGTTTTTGTCGGAAATCTACCATGTGACACTTCTTAGTGTATATTTGAACATGCCGGGGGTGGCGTGTCATCAACTAATTCTAATGGTCCGTTTGTTGTTACTGTTTCTCTCGAACCCGTGAACATTCCTGAAGCTACTGTCAACATAAACCACCTCCCTCACGCTTGATAGATAGAGGGGTCCCTGGCAACGTAACGCTTCACGGTAAAGTTTAATAGGTAGGGCCGGTAATGCTTAAGGCCATGTTGATTTGATTATATGGATGGCATCCGCGCGACAATGAATTTTCGGCCGTTTCCAAAAAAAAAAAAAGTTTTCAACCATACTGTAAATCGTACAAAACAGTTTCAATATGAGCAAAAATATACCATAAGTTACAAGAAAAATTAATAAATACCAATGTCGTAGAATGCCAAAATCAAACGAAAAAAGACGAAATTGTAAAGAAATAAATTTGAAGACTAGATTATTCGCCAAACCATATTCTGTGCCATTTGCTCAACCCTCATGACCACGTAGATTTCATAATGAAAATAACTTTT